GCCTCTAGTGCCAGCGGCGTGTCTGGAGTGTATTTTTTGGCTGTGACAGACCTTTCTTTGTTTCGTGGGTGTTTTGCTGGCTTGTGATGGGGTGTCTAGAGTTTTCCATCTGGTGTGGGTGAGTGATAGTCTACTTTGATTTTGGTTAAGGTGGATTATCACTTACAGTGTAATCAGTGAGGGGATTCTTCAGACTGTTGAGGGTTCAGCCTCCTGACGAGTCGGTGAAACTCCGACGAAACAGTTTGCCACAGCCCCTCGTTTGTTGTCCTCTTCTCCCTCTCTGCCTACTGTTTACGGGGCAGCTCTGTTTGACTATATATATATGAGTCGGTGAAACTCCAACAAAACAGTTTGTCACAGCCCCTCGTTTGTTGTCCTCTTCTCCCTCTCTGCCTACGGTTTACCGGGCAGTTCTATTTGACGATATATGTGTTGTGTAAAATTAGTACACTACGAACGACTTTTGGCTGAGGGCCACCTCAAAATTCCTTGTTAATTTTAAGATAAAAAATAAATTAGAAAACATGTACCCTTGTAACCCCTTCAGTCTCGATTGATACCCCCCCAAACCCCCCTGGATGACCCATAACCAAAACCGAAGTTAAGACCAGATTCTGACTGCTTAGGTCAAGCCTGAAGTCTTCTTTCTTTCTGTTTTCGGATCCTTGCCTCTTTTTTGACCCGTCTGGTTTTGCCGGGCAACCCCCCCTCTGCCCAACTGGCCCGGGTGTGCCGGGCCGGGCGACGGCCCAACATACTTTCAAACACCATTTTCTTCTTTTAACCACCACTACATTTCACAGCCGAAGGCTACGTCGTCAATAAAACCTATACCGCGTTCTTTGAAGGCTGGGCGCCACCGGACCAAAATGCTTGGCAGCGCCCGCCAGAACGAAAGAAAAAAGGTCGCGGTGGCGCTTCGGCAAAGCTTGGCGCGCAGAGCAGTTCTACATCGCCTTAGCCAAAAACAGCTCGGCGGTAGTCACTGTGGTGGTTTAAGAGAAAGATCTCAACAGTCTGAACTTGTCAGACCTGAACTTCTAAACTTTGAGCTCTTTCAACTTCCGTCACAGTGCCCCTGGCATGTGGCTGCTCATCGTGCATGGTGTCTCTAGTAGGCTGTATACCGATCTAACTAGAGCCGTACCGTCATACCAAAAAGGGTGAAAATCATTGCAGACTGCAATCCTATGGGGTACAGAACAACGTACCTATGCTGATATTTTTCGTGAGGGTTCGGTCGGGAACCATCGGTGTAGCTGCTGCCCCTAAACCTACCTACCGGTTACGGCGCATCTATGACTGCGGAATCCCGACTGAGCACCTGTATAGTCTCCAATCTCTGTCCTCCCCATCCTCCCGTCATCTGTATGCCCTCCTAATTGCTTAATTCCAATCCTGCCCCTCCGTTTTCCCATATTTGCAGATGTGTCGCTCTGGATGCAGAACCACAGCACAGCCAACAAGTTAGTACTGTGGCAAAGCCAATAGAGGGAAAGACACACAATCACATCGCAGGGAAGCCGAAACACGTCAGCCGTGGGGATTTCGGTCAGATCTCAGCAGAAGACAGCGACTTATCACACAAAACTTGACAAAAGTTACAAAAGTTGAAAAAAAAACTAAGTTCCCAGATGGCAGACTGCAGTGGTCATTGCCATCCTTTTTTTTCCTTCTTTTTTTTTTTTTTTTTTTTTGGGTCATCGGCATCTAATGACTTGCTCACGGGAGAGGAACCACATTGATGGTCCCGAGAATGGAGCGAGTCAGGGCCACAATGCCTTGTTCGTCCTTCTTCTTCTTCTTTATTGAAAAGAAAGAAAGACTCTGAAAGAGATGTTAATCTGATGCCGCTTCCAGGGATGCAACAGACTTCGTTACAGAGCCATGTCCATAAGGACTCCATTGTGGTTGCCGTTGTTGTTTCTGGTTGTTTTTGGTTGTTGTTGTTGATTGTTCGTTGTTCGTTATTGTTCGTTATTGTTCGTTATTGTTCGTTATTGTTCGTTATTGTTTTTGGTATTTGTTCATTGTCATCCTCATTATAAAGTGTTGTTGTCAATTGGTTGTCATTATTGTTACGGCTTGTTATTGGTTGTTATTGGTTGTTATTTGTTGTTATTGGTCGTGGTGTTTGTTGTGGTTGTTGCTTGTTGGTGGTGTTGGTTTCGGTTTTGGTTATTGGCGGTGGTTGGTTATCATGATTGGTGGGTGGGTGGGTGGGTGGGTGGGTGGTGGCTGGTGGGGGACTGGTGGGCGGCTGGTGAGTGGGTTGGCATAATTGTTGTTGTTGTAATCTTTGTTATGGACATTGTTGTCATTGCTGTCATCCTCGTCGTCATGTTTGCTGTGGTTTCTGCTGTCGTTGTTGTTGTTGTTGTTGTTGTTGTTGTTGTTGTTGTTGTTGTTGTTGTTGTTGTTGTTGTTGTTGTCGTCATCATGGTGGTTGTCTCCGTGGTTATTGCTGTGATTGTTCTTGATGTTGTTGTGGTTGTGGTTGTGGTTGTTGTTGTTGTTGTGGTTGTCGATATGGTGGGTTTTGGGGTTGAGGTTGGGGTTGTTGTTCTTCTTGTTGGTGGTGGTTTCCATAAGACTTGATGTTGTTGTGGTTGTTGTTGTTAAGACTTGATGTTGTTGTGGTGGTGGTTGTTGTCGTGGTTTGGGTGGTTGAGGTTGGGGTGGTTGTTGTTCTTGGTGGTGGTGGTTGCTGTAAGACTTGGATCCCACAGAGATGTCTAAGACTCCGAGGTCAGCTTTTAACTCAGTAGAAATCACAAGTCCTTTCCTGACGAATATATATCGTATCAGTACTTATTCCTCTGGTTGAACCTCCCAGGAATCGAACTAGTGATCTCTGGCTCAAGATCATGATCCCTCAACCACACTTGGATCCAACAGAGATCTCTGAGGTCAACTGTTAGTCAGCTTTAACCCAGTAGAAATCACAAGTCCTTTCTTGAAGGATATATATTATATATCATATCAGTAGATTCAGTACTCGTTCCTTTCCACTGGTCGACCCTCCAAGGGAATTGAACTGGTGATCTCTGCCTCAAAAGCAGGATGCCTCAAACACTGCAGCTATGACATGGTGTCGAAAAGTCAAACCATACCGAACATGATGTCCACCCCACCTCTGTACGGCTGCGGCATGCACATACACTCCGCACACAACATCACTTGAAACCCTCCTAGTACAGAGTCCGTGGCCCTATATGTCTATCCGGCCACCTGGTCCGGGTACAACCTCCTGGCTAGTTACCCCGCTGAAGTACGTATCAGCTTTTTTCCTCTGGTTGACCCTGCAAGGAATCGAACCCGTGATCTCTGGCTCAACAGCTGGATGCCTCAACTACTGTAGCTGTCATAGCGTGTCCAGAAGTGTAAGCATACCGATACTGATGTCCACCCCAACCCTCTACAGCTGCAGCATGCACGCACACTCCACACACGACATCGACTTGAAACCCTCGTAGAGAGTTTGTGCCCCTATATGTCCATGCAGCCACCTGGGCACAACCTCCCGGGAGTCCCGGCTAGTTACTGCGCTGAAGTATGTATCAGTACTTATTCCTCCGGCCGACCCTGCAAGGAATCGGACCGGTGATCTCTGGCTCAACCGCCGGGATGCATCATCCACTGCAGCCATGACATTGTGTTCGAAAGTGGAACGTCACTGGTAGTGATATCCACCCCACCGCGGCACAGCTGCAGCATGCACGCATACTTCACACGGGACATTTCTCGAGACCCGCCCGCATAAGCTGTGGCTCTATATGCCCACACGGCCACCTGGTCTGGGTGCAACCTCCCAGCTAGTGACCGCCATGACTTCCGTGGCAGTACGCACTCCTCTGGTCGACCCTCTGCGAGGAATCGAATCGGTGATCTCTGGCTCAACAGTCGGATGCCTCAACCACGGCAGCCATGACAGGGTGTTCAAAAGTTGAAAGCTCAACCGGATCGGTAGCGATATCCACCCCACCCCTGCACGGTCTCCAGCATGCACATGCTCCGCACACAACATTGCTCGAGCCCCACCTACAGAATCTGTGGCCCTATATGTCCAAGCGGCCACTGGGTACAACCTCCCGGCTAGTTACTGCGCTGAAGTGAGTATCACTAATTCGTAATTAGTCCTCTGGCCGACCCCGCAGGAATCGAACTGGCGATCTCTGGCTCAACGGTTGGATACCTCAACCACTGCAACCGTGACGCGGTGTTCAAACTTAGTGGTACTGATATCCATTCCAGCCCTGTACGATTGTACTAGCATGTACACAGTCCACACATGACATCTCTCAAGACCCTCCTACAGCCTATGGCCCTGTATGATGCCAACTTCGGCCACCTGGTCTGGGGACCGGGGCCGACAATGGCTTGCTACTGTACTGAAGTATGTATCAGCGCTTATTCCTTTGGTTGGCCCTGCAAGGACTCCAATCAGTGATCTCTGGCTCAACAGTTGGATGCCTCAAACCACTGCAGCCATGTCGCAGTGTTCAAAAGAACCATGATACCGGTACACTGGTATCCACCCCATCCCTGCACGACTGCAGCATGCGCACACACTCCGCACACAACATCACCCGCACATTGAAACCCTCGTACAGAGCATGTGGCCCTATATGCCCAAGTGGCCACCTGGTCCGCATACAACCTTCTGGCTAGGTACTGTGCTGAAGTACTTATCAGTACTTATGCATTTGGTCGACCCTGCGAGGAGTCGAACTGACTATTTATTGAAGGATGTTTTCCTTCATTCGAGCAACTTGAACGAGGTTTTTTTTTTTTTTTTTTTTTTTTCAATTCCTTCCCATTCTTCCCCCTTTTCCCTTTTCTTTTACGCATGTCCTCCTTGCACAGAGGCCATGCTAATCTTCTTTCTCTGTATCGTTCCAATTTTAATGGATATGTCCCGAAGGACAACTTGAGCGATTCATTTATATCTTGAAGGAGTCATTTATATATCTACCTAGAAGGAGAATCTTTTTTTTTTTTTTTTTTTTTTTTTTTTTTTTTGACAGAGAGCTGCTAGAGTACATAAGAGGCACTCTTTTTTTAATATTATTATAATAAGTACATTAAATATTTCGATGGAGGCGGGAAATTTACTCGCATAATGTACACTTTCTCATTGGTTGACTGAGCTGGACTCGTGTTGATTTTATGTGATGGTCTACACTGACTCTACAGACTCTACACAGTTTTTTTGGGTTGTTATTCTTCAGGTTTTGTTTTCACTGGTTCCTTCCCTTCAAAATTTTGGTCTCAACCTTTCTCAGCCTTCTGGCTATTAAGATCAGATCAGGAAGTAAAATGTATCTGTTCTGATCAGTTTAATATCTGATCCATGGTCCATCAAACCACACACACACAAAAAAAAAAGAAAAAAAAGAAGAGGTCTGAAGCATCATCATAACCGGCGAATGTAGTCATATTGCGATGCATTGACGTACCTTGGAATATGTGATCAATGTCATATTGTGATGCATTGACGAACCATGGAATATGATGATGAATGTCATATTGACATATTGTGAATTCATGATGCATGACATTGTTCACATACCTTTTTGGAATGAAAACAGGGATGGGAGCAGGGCATGGGACCTAATGGGAAGTGGATGCTGGAACGGGAGAAATGCGGATTGCCCTGCGTTGCCAGCCGTGCTGCACCGGTTAGAGCAAAACTGGATTGAGGTGGAAGAGGTAAGCTCCACCGTGCGAAAACTTGTGATCCCCCCCCATTCTCCAACGTTCAGCAAGACAGTCAAAGTTGTATCTCCTGTATATGGACCTAATCAGTTCCTGCTCCTAGAGACAAGGAGCATGAAGAAGGGCACCATTTACGATTCTGCGCTCAATGGCGAGGGTCTCTTGGTCTGGAAGGTGGATCTCGACCAAGGTCAGACCTCCAGCCGCACACTACAATTCAGTCCGGATACCCCTCGAATGAGGCTTGTGGAGGCAGACGGGAGGGGAAGCTTGCTGGCGCTCGGCAATTACAACAGCAGCACCAGTGGTGACCCATTCCCAGGGTCAACACGACGGACCACGCTCGACGACAACCTTGGTCTCGTTTCCACATCCTTCCCGGGCGGCGCAGCTGCCGGGGTCGAGTTGCAGAATATTTCCTACAATGGAAGGAACGGGAATGTGACGCTCGATGTTGTTTTCCTTGAAAAAGGTATGATGCTGCAGCAGGCGACAGGGGGTGACAGTGTCGATGCTACAACAGATGCGACAACACCTTCGCAGGACGAAGCTGTGAAGCGCCTGGGCAATCGAGGCGCCGGTGAGGTAGAAGACGATAGCATTCCTACGCAGTTGCATGTCGCGATGCAAGAGAACAGCGCGGAGGTTCAGATCTCGAACAAGAATCCGGCAGGCGCCCTTGCGAGGGTTCGGATAGGAATGGTGGGACTGGTGGCTGCTGTGGAGATCGAGGCGATGATATCACACAGGCGCAGCAAGGACCTCCACATGCAGCTCGTCTCCCCGGGAGGCAAACCGGTCAGGATATATCACCATGGGCATGCAGCGGGAGGATCGATCGCATCGACCAGCGTAAGTTCTGATCAGTTCAAGCTCTCAGTCAGTGACCCGCAGGTGTTCAAGCCTCTGATCGGCGTACAAGCATCGGGAACATGGGGGCTCCGAGTGTGTGATACACGCGGTGGTTGGGGTGATGGTCGGCTGAAGATGTGGCGTATCGTATTGACGTTAGTGGACAGCATACGCAGTGTTAGCGAAACGGTGATTGCGAAAGCGATCATCCTGGAAGGGGTGGGGATAACGAGCTCCATTGACATCAAACAGAAAGGGCACGTCAAAGAGGTCGGCATTGAAGTGGGTATCAGCCACACAGTCGCAACGCACATTCACGCGGAGCTGATGGCACCCTCCGGTGCGATTGTGTTGCTGTCCGGAAAGCTGGTGAACGGAAAGAGTGGATCAATGCTCCTTGGCGCCGACTCTGCAAATGACTTACAGCTGGCTCCGATGATCGGCACGTCAATCTGTGGCCCTTGGACCTTGAGGTTAACTGACATTCTCGGTGAAGGGACCAGCACACTGGACGCATGGAACCTAAACATTCAGTACGTACCACTGCTACCCACCCGTGAGGCTGTTGGTCTTCAAACCGCAGGTTGATGTCAACAACGAGTAATCCTATGGCGGTTGTCCTCCGTAAAAGTACTACTTTCAGGAGCATCAACATCAAGTCGGAGCGTACTAAGATCTTAACAGAGTGTGAATGCCTGCAACTTGGAGCGTAAGATCTTAACATAGTGCGAATGCCTGCAGCTTCGAGCGTAAGATCTTATTAACCCACCACTACCTCTGAGCCTCTTTTGCCCTGAGGCGGAGCGTGGTGTTTTTGTTTTCTTATGGCTGCCAGCCTTTGTGGTCCGGTCCCGTGGCGCCCAGCCTCCTCCGCCGGCCTCCGAAGAATGCGGTACAGGACCTACAGGTTACTTTTAAGACTTAGCCTCCCAGCCTGAAAGGTAGTGGTGGAAACATACTACCGCGTCTTCACCCGAATCGAAACGCCTGGATATTATAGCTGTATTTCGCACAACTTTCAGCTCAGAGACGGCGATAATTACCGGGCGTTATATTCGGGTAAAGACGGTAGTGCGAATCCCTGCAACTTAAGATCGTAACATAGTGCGAATGCCGGCAATCATCTGTTCCTCAAGAAGACATAAGAATGACTGAAGACAGTGAAGAGCACAACGAGCACCATGACCTCGTTACGCTTAAAAGAATGGCTCAGATGTGACTTCCAACATGATGAGGATGATGGCTAGCTATGGTGGTAGTTGCAACTCAAGTGCGAATGCCGGCAATCATCTGTTCCTCAAGAAGACATAAGAATGACTGAAGACAGTGAAGAGCACAACGAGCACCATGACCTCGTTACGCTTAAAAGAATGGCTCAGATGTGACTTCCAACATGATGAGGATGATGGCTAGCTATGGTGGTAGTTGGTAACATAGTGCGAATGCCGGCAATCATCTGTTCCTCAAGAAGACATAAGAATGACTGAAGACAGTGAAGAGCACAACGAGCACCATGACCTCGTTACGCTTAAAAGAATGGCTCAGATGTGACTTCCAACATGATGAGGATGATGGCTAGCTATGGTGGTAGTTGCAACTCATCTGCAATGAGCAGCAGAGCTCGAATGGTGGATGCCGCACAGACTAGTCATGGCTGTGCGTGGCTGTTGGACTGGTGCATACACTTGGCGGCTGACAAGGTATGAATGAGTCCGTATGACCGATTCATTCCTTCTGGAAGATCAGTGAAGGCGGCAAAATACAATTTTTACTCATGAATAGGATCAGGACGCGATAATCATCGATATGATGGATCGGAATCAGCGTGCTATTTGGTTGGTTGTGTCCATTCAACCTGTGAATCTGACAGGGGATTGGGTCCTATACAGGAGGAGTAGATAGGATTAGTGAACAAGAAGCACATAGGTCGTTTACGCTGACCGTTGGAAAGCGCTATATAGGAGGAATAGGTGCTACAAGGAAGCAGATAGGTAGACCATTGTGACTATAGAGAAGCATGGCTTAGCAGCCCCCCTTTGTCTATATCATGGCCTTAGCATCATTGGCATCCTGCAATACCTCAGCCTATGGACGACACTATTCTCTTCTCCTTCTCCTTCTCCTTCTCCTTCTCCTTCTCCTTCTCCTTCTCCTTCTCCTTCTTTTTCTTCTTCTTCTTCTTAGGAGGAATAGGTACTACGAGGGGAGCAAGAGGTGGATCAATGTGACTATTGAGAGCTGTAGGTGAGCATCCCCTCTGTCTATATCCTGGCCTTAGCATCATTGGCATCCTGCAGTACCTTCGCCTACCAACCACAGCATCTTCTTCTTCTTCTTCTTCTTCTTCTTCTTCTTCTTCTTCTTCTTCTTCTTCTTCTTCTTCTTCCTCTTCTTCTTCTTCTTCTTCTTCTTCTTCTCATTCTTCTTCTTCCATTCTTTTCAGATTCATGCGTCAACGGGGTCTGACATCAGGACCACATTCACACCGAATCCCATAAAATCCCCAGTTATGGGGAAAAGAGAACTATGTTATCTGGTGCAGCAAAATAATAGCTGTGACCACCCTAGTTACTTTACTAGGAGGTGTTCCTTTTGCAGTCGCTATGTTGGATTGACAATTCAACGACCACAGGTTCTTTTTTTTTTTCTTCTTCTTTTTTTTTTCTTCTTTTTTTTTTCTTTTTTTTTTGGAAAGGGTTCACTCCTAAGTTCCTATCAGTATTGCATTGATGCAGTTCCATCCGGATTTGAGCTCATGATCTGTTTATCAACAGTTTACTGAAAGGGTGTACCATTTAGCCACATGGGCAGGGCCAACACAGGGGTTGCCTCCGATTTGCTAGGGGGGCCAAGACAGGGGTTGGCTCCGATTTGCTAGAGGGGCCAACACAGGGGTTGGCTCCGATTTGCTAGGGGGGAAGAGATTGACTGAAGAAACTATCTATCGACCACCTGACCGACCAGATCATGCCCATCTTCAGTCCAGCTTTTTGTTGTCCAGCGGGGTCTTCATGAACGACAGCAATAATGCAATCGATTACAATGGAGGTTGCCTTTTTTTCTCTCTTTTCCTATCTGTGAAATACTACTCCAGAACTCGCTAACTAAGGATTAAGTTGAGTATTTCTCCAGCAGGGTACCAAGCGACCCAGGCAAGCATAGTGGAGGGAAGCTTAGCGGAGAGAGAGAGAGAGAGAGAGAAAAGGGGAGAGAGA